TAATAATAATAATAATAATAATAATAATAATAATAATAATAATAATAATAATAATAATAATAATAATAATAAATTTTGGCTTGAGTAAATAAAATTTTCAATAATAAAAGCATAGAACAACAAAGATACCATTTCCTCAATCGTGTGTCTTTTGATTGAATTCTGAAACCTAGGTTAGCCAAAGGAAAGATAAACGGATAAAGGTCGTTATGATGAGTGTTTGAACGTGTTAAAAAATTTAAACTTCATATAACCGATATAGCTGAATTGTTTAGTTTAATTATAAGCAAGTTGGTGAAAATTTAGGAGCTTAAATGTGTCCATTGATAACTTTTATAAATATCTCACTCCACGAACCAAGCGGCTAAATATACAGGTCAAAATAAAGCTTGGAAAAGAAATTAATGTAAGATATTAAAGATGCATTCTCGAATATAAAGTTGTACTAACGAGCTTTCAAAAAGTTTCACTAATTCTTCCGAAGGTTTTCTAAGCTGTATATATTAGAAATTTTTCTAATACAGTAATTTACAAATAATTTATATTATAAGCATCTCAATTTTTATTTAATATTGTATAATATAGTAACCATTGATTTGACAACTTTTCAGACCAATGAGACTCAAGAAAATCGACTTAATTGTTTTTGTATAAGAAAGACTAATTATATTACTAAAACTTGTTCTTGTCGAAGAAATAATTTGCTATGCATAAAAACGTGTGGGTGTTTACATGACCACTGTAAAAATAGTTTGTTTTTTTACGAAGTTTATTCAAATTTGGCAATATAACACGCTATTTTTAAATTTACGATTAACATGTTAATTCGGATTAAGTTTATATGTGATCCCTCACTTGACACTTGGATTATAAACCATGTATGTGACAACCAAGCATTTGCTATATATAAATGCTTATTTATTATTTAAAATGATTTGTCACACCCTTAGTGCCAATTGAAAGGGTCATCTATATCAGATTTAATCCATTAATTTCGAAGCGACTTGAATTGAAAATTGATGAAAAATAAATGTGGTGGCTGATGTTGAAAATTGGCTGATGCTAAAAATCTGACTTATTTTATTTTGAAATTTTAAAAATTTTTGGGCCTTTTCGTTAGGGGGTTTTTTTTAGGGTTTGGTTAGGGTTTAGGGTTAGTGTTATATGTGAATTTTAGTAGGTATTATAGGTTTAAATGGGACCCTAGATTCAACATCAGCTGCGACAATAAATAACATAAAATCTAGTTGATGATCAACTAGCCCATCGAAATCGAATAAATAAGGTTATACCCTAGACTTATTGCATCTATAGAAAATATTGAGTGATATTATAACAGTTTTTTCATGTAATGCCGTATAAATACATAACCAGAACACTATTTATATATCGAATATCCAATGTTCTATGTTTATTAAATTATGTTGGATTTTAATCGAAAGTATGATATAATGACCGCGGAAATATGAAAAGTTTAACAAATAATTTATCATTATCGTAATTAAATCAAATTCTTTAAAACTAATAAGCCTTATTTTGTGATATGGGATATCCAAAAATTTCTTTACCAATATACACATTATAAATAATTATGAGTAACAAGTTCAGAAAGTGCACGATTGAATTATATCTAATCCCAAAAAATTAGGGATGGTGATCAATCAAAATATTTGATTAATCATATGGGCTAGGTTCTGGGAAAAGGGCCGAAAATGACAATTTTTTTCAACCCAAATTTTTGTACATAAATCATTTTCACTTAAAACACAAAGTAGTTGTGTTAATAAAATTTTGCAGTATAGCTCTTTAAAGTTTGTTTTCTTATGATCTATTATAAGATTTTCATTTTCGGTCCTTTTTCAGAACTTAGCCCATATGATTGATCGCTCGCTCGTTCGGTCTTTTTTTTCAATTCTTTTTATGATATAATAGCGATGATATTTCGGAACATTTAATGATTGTCGCACGCAATTTTTTTAAATTAATCATATAGATGAAAAAGATTCAGTGGTTAAAAATAATTATGATCGATCATAATCAATTCTTATAACAAAATATTACAAAACAAAGAAAAAAAATTTTAAATCTAAAGCTTAAAAATTTAAAGCACAACTGAATTATTAATGTCAAACTCAATCCTATTACCAGTGCTGCTCAATCATGTCACCAAAAGTTCATCACATAGGGTTATGTTAGCGGTTTATTAGTTGTAGGTATATATTTTTAGTAAATTGTCACTTAGCGTGATGTCGACTAAATGAGCTGTCGATAAAGTAAGTCAAATGTACAGATTATCATATTAAATTCAATTTAAGCAACGATATAATAGTGTTAAAATTAAAGAATATTGATTTCCTAGCATAAGGCATTTTCAATATTCTTATTAAAATTGTTGCTTTTAGTTGCGCTTAATAATTATAGCCTTTAAACGTTCCCGATCATTTCGGTAAGTACGATCTTTTTCTGCGGCTTTTTCATACCAATCAAGTGCTTTTTTCAAATCCTTTTCTATTCCTTTACCTTGCTCGTAGCATTTACCAAGTTCATATTGTGAAGCAGGTAATCCCATTGTAGCCGCTTGCTCAAACAATTTAAATCCCTTGACCATATTAGTATCCGTTCCACGACCTCTTTGGTAACATAATCCTAAATTAGTCATAGCTATTACATTTCCTTTATTAACTGCGCTTTGGAGCAATTCAAATGCTTGAGTATATTTATCGTTTTTATAATAATAATCTCCAAGTATGCGCTCTGCTGCTGCACATCCGTTTTTAATCGCTTTATTGTACCAATCAATTGCTTCTCTCATATTCTTCTTGGTGTTGTTCCAACCAACTTCATAGCATCTTCCAACAAAATATTGCGCAATTCCATCTCCTTTATTTGCTGCATTAAAGAATAAATTAAATGACTCTGTGTCGCTTTTCACTGTTCCAATGCTCCAACTATAAAATAATCCGAGTAGACAAATATACTTTGAATTATCATTATTTTTCAACAACCAATTAAAAACCTCTTCTTGAGTTTTGTTATGTTTGGATATGAAATTGATAATTACATCACTAACAGATCTACCTTCATTAAATAGCTTATTACAGGTCGAATATAATTTATTTGCAAAAATAGGCATGTCATATTCGTTTAAGTCAAGATTGCTTTCAAAGACGTTGGTAAGAAGTATTTCAACAGTTTTAATATCATGGATGTCAAAAATATAGTTGATTGAGACCTCTTGAGCGATGTTTTTTAATTCCATAGCTACTTCGTGAGTAGATGGTCGTTCATCTTGCGTCCCCTGCCAACACTCTAAATTGAGGTTGAAATTCGAATAAGAATTTATGACTACAAGACAAAAAAATATAAGCTGTATATTATAATATAAACATACGCTCATAAATAGTAACATATTTGTGATTTGTATCAGCAACTGGTTTTTCTCTTAGTCCGTTTCTTATCCTATGTGGTAGGGTTGTCGTATCTTCATCTTTAAAAGGAGGTATTTCACTTGATATTTCCCAAAGGATAACACCAATGCTATAAACATCCGATTTCTTATTCATTTTATGTCTGCGAGACTTTCCATCTTGACTTTCTATACGAGTAAAGCATTGAGGATCAATGTATGGTACAATACCAAGAATTTCACTTGTACTCTTAGACTTAGAAGCTTCGACAACACGTTGTGATAATCCGAAGTCAGCTAATTTTAAGGTTTCTTGATGAATAAGTATATTATTAGAGTGCTTTCAAGGGGAATAATGGAAATTAATAGAATTCATTAATCACAATTTATTAAATTAAGAACCTAAATTATAATAAAGTTTACCAGGTCACCATGGATAATATCATAATCATGCAGCCATATAAGAGCATCTACAAGTTGAATTGCAAATTGGATTTTTAACTCCCATTTGATTTTAGTTGCATTATTACGCAAATAATCACGTAAAGTTCCGCCATCTGCATACTCGAGGACGAGCACATATTTGATAACACTTGGATCTATTTGATCTATTTTATGTGTATAATAAATATAAATAACTGCAGTTTAATTTACGAAAACAATTGCGTATTAAAAATGTTCTTACCTTTGTATTTAGTAATACCATAAAATTCGATAATGCTCTTATGAGATTTCATAGAAATCATATTGTTTAACTGTAAGTCGATTGCATAATTGTGAATTTTAGCATAAACGTTTTCTAATGATTATGTACAGGTATAATGCTACTTACTTCATTTACGAGTTCTTTATTAATTTGTGCGTTGCTCTCAATTATTTTTAGTGCATGTATATTTTTTGTACTTCGTTGTCTTGCTTTGTAAACTTTACTAAAAGCCCCAGTACTGATCATTTTAAATTCTTCAAATTCTTCAAACTTATATTCAGTAATTTTCCCTTCATAAATTTTATTCTCAATCCAATTTTCAGACATTTTGGGATAAGTGTTAATAGTCTTAAATGATTTGAAAGTAAATAAATCCGAATTATTTATATCAGCAGCCTTCATTTGTGCGACGATGATTTACATTATTATCGTTATTAATCCATTTTTGTATAATTTTTTCAGTTTCCAAAAAATTAAAATTGTACTCACGCAAATTTATTGATAATTAACTTAAAATTATTATCCATTTTCGTGGAGCTAATACTGTATCCCCTTTTGTCAAATTATTTAACTCAAACATTTTCTAATTTGGCCAAATAATAACAGATTAGTTACTTTAGAAACACGGAAATCCCGTTATTGGCCAATCAAATTTCAAATCCAGGTGTAGCCAAATGTTTGTAGTGTAACCATCGCAAGGGAGAGCTTGGCACTATCATGCCGAGTTTAGATCCGATGGTTGACGTTAGAAGGGTCACATGAACTGGTAATAAATTATGGTATTCGGATATTATGATTTATTGGGCATTTATTATAAAAAGAATGTGAACATATGTGACCTTTATTTATAGAGTAATTTGAGAGAGCGAATGTTATCCTATACATTCTAATTTTGCAGATTGTCAACATAGGGATCTCAACGCTTACGTTGTAGATTCCACATTTGCTCAAGGTGCAATGATTATAAATTTATGCAATCGCGTATACGCAATATTTTGAGCGTACACGCTCTTGCATAAATTAAGCCACCAAGAATACTTAATAATGCCTAATACTACTAAGGTAAGATTAACATAATATAATAGTACAATTATGGAAGGTAAGTGACAATTTAAAGAATTAAACAAATACGGAAGTGAGGAGGCACAGGAAAAAATTAATCGTTACAGTAGCTCTAGAAATCATGAAAATCTGATTGCGCAGTCAGTTCGGAATAAGTTGAGTCTATTGTTAGTAAAATTACTATAATTATCAGGAGAGCAGTCTACGTTCATCGCTTTCATATGATTTGCAATTATTAAAGAATAATTCGAACATTTTTAGATGTAGAGAACGGATAATGTTATATATATATATATATCTTATTATTAAATATAAGTTCGGATAAAATTTATCATAAGCATCATAAAGTAATCTTTGTAACTATGATTATTATGAATATAACATTACATGAAGAAACTATCATGTTAATGAACGGTATCTCAGTAATTGCCCACACAATATTTCACAACATTTCTGTTAGATGACAACTTACAACGAAATTGAAAATTGTCATGATTGACTTAATGGAGCTATCAAATTATAAAGTTCATTTAAGTTAGTAGGACGATGTAAGGAGTTATGATGACAATTTCCATCCAGTAGTGAAAGTATTTTAATATTCGTGTTTTAATTGCGCTGTATCAGCATATTCTTTATACGTTCTTGATCATTTTTGTAAGTGCGATCTTTTCCAGTAGCCTTTGTATAACAATTTAAATGCTTTTTCCAAATCCTTTTCTGTTACTTTACCATGTTCATAACATTTACCAAGTTCATATAGTGAAGCAGGTAATCCCATTTTAGTCGCTTGCTCAAATGATTCAAATCCTTTAACCATATTGGACAACCTTTTTGGTAACATAATTCTAAGGTATTATTAGCTATTAAATTTCCTTTTTTAGCTGCATTTTTGAGCAATTCAAATGCTTGAGTATATTTGTTGTTTTTATAAGCATTCGTTCTGCTGCTGTGCATCCATTTTATTGTACCACTCAGTTGCTTTCTTCAAATTCTTGGTAATATTGTTCAATGACATTATCTTTATTTGCTGCTTTAAAGAATAATTTAAATGATTCTGTATCACATTTTACTGTTCCAATGCTCCAACTATAAAATATTCCGAGTAAACAAATATATCTTGAATCATCATTATTTTTCAACACCCAATCAAAAACTTCATTTGGAGTTTTGTTATGTTTCTACCTTCATTAAATAAATTACTAAGGGCCAAATATAGATTATTTACAAAAAGAGTCATGGAATCGTCGTCATTTAAATCAATTATGCTATCAAGAAATTTTTTAAAAGTTTTTATATTCGATTGCGACTAGGGTTGTAAGGGTTGTAACTTACATACTTACCTTACATGTAAGTTACATGTAAGTTACATTCAAAATTTATGTTGTATGGTAAGTTTGTAAGTTATAATGCTAACTGTTAATATTAGTATTTAGAGTTAGAGTTAGGGTTTGAGAAGGGTTTTTAGGGGAGTTGAGCATTTTCACTTAGAATACCTTGTACTGATTAATTAGCCAGTTTTTGTGAAAATATATACATAGGTGTAAAACACCATAGATGCGTTTTAGTAAAAGTCAAATATAATTATATATTACATTTTGGATATATTTGTTATTTTTTTTTTTCTTTTGATAACTGTGTATTAAAATTTTATTAAATGTATAATGCTTAATACAAGATCAAACTATTTAACAAGGTATTAGACTAAAAGCTGGCTATCTCTTAAAGATGCCCAATCTTGGTTATTGAACTGAAGTTGGACACTATATTTCATATATGATATGGCACATTTAAAGATATAATCTAGCTGGGGCTCAACTCCCACCTCAGGACCTCTTTTTCCTTCTAATTCTTCCTTCTTCTCAAGAGGTATGAGACAAAAGGGGAAAAAGTTTAAACCAAAAAAAACAAATACAAAAATAACTAAAAAAGAAAAACAAAACAAATAAAAAGAAAAATAAATGCAGATTTTGAAAAAGAAAAAACATGAAAAGAAAACTAAGACCCTAAAAGTACTATTATAACCAGTGTTGGAAATCTGGTTTGAGATTTATGTTCTCATGAGAATATATTTATTTGATTTAGTGTTCTCAAAATTTTATTTATGTTCTCAATATTTAATCTCTAAAATTATTAATATCCCTATTTTCAGAAATTATTGGACATTATTTCTACTTTTTATTCCAATCCTTCTTGTATTTTATGTTTTTTCATTTTCCCTTCAGGTAAATTTGTAATTCTATTTCTATCTGGAATTTTCTATTATACTTAGAGAACATGCTTTTTCAGCAGCATGTTCTCAAATTTTTTTTCATAGAGAACATATATAGAATATCAAATGTTCTCAAATCTAAAAGGATCTTCTCATAAGAACATGAGAATATAAGATTTCCAACACTGATTATAACCTGTGCAAGATTGGTAAAAATTATATAACAAATATAACATTTGTATATCTCTCTTGTAAAGGTAAAGCTCTGCCTTAGCATTAAAATTTACTTTCTGACCTTCCCACCAAATTCAGATAGCTCCGTTGTCTGAGAACCTATATCAAGGCTACTAGGGTTCCTCAAAGTCAAATCGAATCAAATATTTACATATTTGAATTTGATCAAATTGAATAATCTCTTGATTTGAATTTGATTTGATCAAATCAAATTCAAATCAAATTAAATTTATTTGTAATTTTTATTAA